ATATATATATATATATATATATATATATTCTCTACGTTGTAATAATTAACCCTTTTTTATTCATATTTTGTAACGTGTATGTCATGAAAAGAGTGTTGTTCCTCATTCTTATTTTACGACGTGATAATAAATAATAGCACAAAAAAAATCGTTGTTCTTCGAGATAAGGTTCTCAACTTTAGGTGAGAATTATAGTAACATAAAATTTAATTATCTTACATGAATAATGATCCATTATAACTTTAAAAAAAATTATTTGTTTAGAAAGAAGGATATTTGTATAGCAATTTTTTTTGGTAGTAAATTTGTTGATATTGTAAGTATAATTACATTTTAAGTATTGTTTATTTTAATTTACATCGGATAGTTATAATTTTATCTTTGAAAAGTTTTGATAAATTAAGAGAAAAGAGTGTTTATAAACTATTATTGGTCATAACTCCTAAATAATGTAAAACTTTTGAGCATATAAGAATAAATCTCTTAGTTGATACTAAGGGTAAGAGTAGTTTAGAAAATGTTTCAATTTAAAAAAAAAAAATACTAGAGATAATCTAGTTGTTTGTCCAAATTCAGAATATTCAAAAGTATATTATGGTTATTTTTACCTTATAGTGAAGACTTTATATTTGATTATTATGTTTCTTAAGCCTTTAAAATCACAAGATTTTGTTAAAATTACATCTTATTATTGAGTAACATATTTTGGTACTCAATTACGATAATTAATTATTAAATTTAGTGTGTGATACGAGTCTTTAATTGAAAAAATGACGAGTTACTTTGAGTACAAAAATTAAGTTGGTTACAATTTTTTTTTATTTACAAAACTCTCCAAATAACACATGTCACTTACAATATTGGGATAATCTACTTGCCTACCAATTTATAACATGAATACGTAGAGACTAAATCAAATAATATTTCAAGTAACACATCTCAGTTATAAGTTGAGATACTTCACTTGCCAACCAACTTATAGTATGAGATGCATATAAGCTAAGTCAAATAATATCTTCAATAACACATCTCAATTACATGTTGGGATAGTCTAATAATAAAACTATAAAAAAAGACAAATGTAATTTTTTTTCTCGTAAATTTTGTTCACTTACAAAAAAAAGTTTTTTTTAAAGTTATGTAAATTACTTTTTCATCTCCTCAATTAAATGTTATAAAATAATTTGAAAAAATGTTATAAATCATGTTTCCTATTTACCTTTCACTAAAATAATACATTGCCAATAAAGTTTGATTGAGTTGGTAAAATATAAATTTATATCTTACAAGAACATGAAATTGATTTCTCCTACGAGTGTGAAGGCATTGATAGTAGATAACCTAATTGAACTTTGAATCCTCCTCTAATCATTATAAATATTCGAAACTTAATTCACCTATTATTTTTTTATATAAAAATTAATACATTTTAAAGAAAAAAGGAAGGGATGTAGGGAAGTAGGGAAGGGATCTATTTCTTTAATAAGTAATCTATTTTAAAGAGTAAATATTCTAATATGCGTTCACATTTTAATAAATTCATGATTTATGATATAATATAAATAAACACATAATACCACCTATTGATTTTCTTATCAATACTATATTACAACATTTTTTTTACTCTTACTCGTTTAATAAGTTTCAAATTCATGAATCTCAAGCGTGTGGTTCAGCGATAGGAGTTGATCCATGCTTAAGCAAGGTCAGGAATTCGAATCTTGCTTTGTCTATGCAGCTGCGTTAAATTTTGGGGCCAGTTATCCCAAGCTTTGAGGTGCCTCCAAAGAGAGGAGATTAGTGACCGCTATCGGCGGGGGTGCTCCACGAACGGAAAAA